TTTTAACATATAAGATCTATATATATAGGTGGAATCTCCCTAAGGGTCAGGAGGCACAACACCAACCCTTGGTCAACCTAGATAATCTTTTCATGATTAAAGAAAGAAAAAGGAAAAAAAGGAGTGTTTCTTACAGCTTGTCATGTTTAAATTAATGTCAGCAAGTGATGGTTAGTTTTTGCGTTCTATTTAATTTGAGCTTGAGGTGATTTGTGGAGGCATAGCTAAACTGTGGGTCAAGATTAAAGAAAGAAAGGGTCAGCCCCAGCTATAATGTTGTCATCAACTAGCAAGTATATAGCCCCTCAAAAGCTTTATATGGGGTCAGCTCTTGGGGAAACTTTCAGGAAATGAAAAACCCAGATAAGGGCTTAATTTGTCATCTCCTTTTACTACCTTAAAGTGAATATATGAGTCAAGTAATGCAGATCCCCACCTGCTAACAAAAGTGTAATGATGAATCGACACTATAATAATAATAAATGAAAAAAAGAGGAAAAAATGATAATATAGTCAAGCCTAAATTAATTTCTTAACCTCTGGAAACATGGAGCCATCATTCATGTCTTATTTTCTACGTTTTAATTATATGTTTCATTAAGTCACTGGCAAAGCTGTAATCTTGTATATATTCTTATCAGTGATTACAGAAGATATGTCCATTTGAGGTGTGAATAAGCACATAAGTTTATAAGAGAGAGGAAGGAGATAGAAGAAGGAATACAGAAGAGTATATTGATTAGAGTACAACATGGAATTTTTTTAATTCATTAAGCACTCTCACACACTTCTTACAGCCTAATAATAACAATTGTCTGCATCGACACATATTAATCATCAAGCCAATATAACCACTTCTCTTTTTTCCACTATTACAAGAGCACTTACGATGATATAAAATCAAATACAGATCATACAGTCCTAACTCTCAAAAGAAAATCAATAATGCTAGATAAGGAAAAGAACAGAAACAAAGAGAGGATCAATCTGTAATGAAGACAAGGACTGATAATTGTACAACTGTAGAAGCAAAATTCACATAAATATATAGTAATCAGTCGGACCAGGAACGCTCGATTCCCCTGGCATGGATGCACCCATGCATGTAATTATCCTTCGTTATGGAAGAACCATCTCTAGCTTGCACGAATGGAAGCTTGAAAGGTTACTCCTCTCATGGAAATGAGTAGGATATTGTCTAAATGGCCTTTCTTGAAGGAAGGAATTAAACATGGTTTTGATAACCACAAAGTTGAATGCTACCACCATGGCGTGAGAATAGAAATTGAAGACCGGTGCAGTTGATTACCACTTAATTTGGTTGAGACTTGAGAGAAGAAGAAGAAGAAGAGAAGGGACTCAAAAACATGTAGATGTCTATGCAAGTATGATCATTTATATTAAAATGGAAAGTGTAGTAGTAGAAGGAGGGGAAAGCTTTATGTTAAGGCAGCTGTGTAATATTATCGTGGTGCACGCATACTATGCTAACTCCACCTAATCTTATATTCCCGCATGCACGTTTCTCTCTTTAATGTACAGTAGTGACACGGCACGTTTCCACAGGAAAAAGAGAGAGAGAGACATGGACAGTGAAGGGTTTTTTTTGGAGGCAAAGCATGGAGCCCTAAAGCTGAGGCTGTTTTTAAGGCCTTAACCACCATAAAGGATCTTTATATGGAAAAGGGTTTGAAAATTTTGGCTCTCCACCCCCCAGTTTTTGTTTCGATCTATTGTTTCAAAAAGGACTCTAAATTTTTGGCACTGCCTTTCCAATTCTTATGTTCTGGCAAGTAGCTAGGGCTTCTTTTAAGACTTTGAAGAGATCCCATGTCCAAGTTCAACTATACCTTGGATATTATGTAGCTTAGATATGTATTCATGAGGGGACAATGATGCTTCCCTCACGGCTTAAAGTCAATAATCTCAGCGTATGAATTGTTATAGACGTTTGAATTTGTGATGATGCTTGCCTATATTAATGATTAAGTACGTACTTGCTTACGTTTTAATATTAATCATCAGAATGCTAATTTACCTTCTCGTAAATTTTGGCATGAAGCAAAATTGACGGGTACTGCAAGCTAGCTATTTATATATATGCTTGAGTACATTCCATCATGAATAACTGAAAGTACTATATATATATATATACACAGGTACGCTTGCTACTTGGTCAAGGAACCAACCCTTTCATTGCTAAAGATCACAGACCAACTAAATGAGATTTATCAATCACCATAATTACAAAAAGAGTGTATTGATCAGCTCACGATTATGAGAACGGTTCAGCTCATGGCTAGCTAGAAGTATTTCTGAAAAAACGTAATATTTTTCCTCCGTCCCATCAACCGGTCTATCCAATCTTGCCTGACATGCCTTTTTAGTCTAAATGGTTTTATTTCAGCCTAAACAACACTCCTGACCTGGGATTCACCCGACCTATCCAACCTTTTCTGGCATATCCTTTTATGAATTTTTTCTAGTTTTCATGAGTCATATATACAAAGTTTTATGTATATAATTTTTTTCTATACACACATAGCTTTTTATTATTATTATTACAGGGACAAATATCATTTTTTACACCAATAATGGACTTGGAACAATGATCACGGCATGACATGTCAGCCAACAAAACACCATTTTTTCCTTCAATGGGTGACCAGCTCCACAACCAAGGTTGAGAGCCAATTTCTCCACTACTTATATGATCTCCTTCTCCATTAAGAAATCTCAAGGCTTGAGTGTATGCACCCAGTCACCAAGGCAAGCAAGAGAATTGAACTCCTTCCAAGACAAGGAGAGAGGGGGAACGGGGCGTGCTGTAATGAGAGTGAATTTTAGGGTTTTAGTTTTTTGAAGATAATTTTCTATATATATCCCTGTTCAGTTAACAATATTTTTAATTTTTAGTTAAATCAAGTTGATTTAGTCTGGTTCAATTAGTTTCAGGTTTTTAAAATTAAAATTAAATTAAATTGAATTTTTTTTTGTTTTCTAATCAATTTTTTCAGGTATTTTCTTAATTTAATTTTTTAAGTTAATTTGTTTTCCTATTTCTCTCAATTTAATAAGTTTTATATTACAACATTCATTTTATTAGTAATAAATTACTATTTTAGTATCATCTATCAACAACCCTCCATCAACACCACCACTTAACCCTATCACCTCATCCATAATCATAAACACTACTTAACTAAGAACTTGTTTAAAAATATAGTTGAGATTACTTTTTAAAGTATTTTTTACTTGCAAGAGCATCAAAATATTTTTTTTACATCACCATATTAAAAAAAAAAACACTAAAAAATAATAAAAAATATGATTGGGCCATAATATCTCACAGTCTGTAAGTCATTAATGTAATCATTACTTTATCATTATTTTCACTGTCATCACCATCATTTTAACACCATCACTACATATCAATAATAACCACAACTATTCATTCCCTCCTTCACTATTATTATCTAGTTATTGAAATAATTATCACTACAACTATTCATCATTACAACTATAACATTTAATATCACTACAATTACTATGACACCATCATTATTTATATTACCAGCATATGATTTTTTTCAATTTTATTATTATCATGAAAATTATTAATGAAAAATATTTTATTTGACATGATTTTTTTATTTTTTATCCAAATAATAAAAAATAACTTATTTTTCAACATAATATTTTCCTAAAAAAAAAAAACGGATCCAAATACATTGTAAATAGTTCCATCAATAAACAATCCAAATACATTGTAAATAGTTCCATCAATAAAGATTACTGCAAGTATGGAAAGTAAGCTTTAGTTTGATTGATCTGTTGTCGGCATATTGATTGAAATTTGACAAACATTGTTATCAAAATAAACCTAAACTTTAATATTGTTTACCTATCCAAACACATACACTCATGTATATTCACACAAAATCAAGAGGAGAGAACATTATATTATCAAATCTGACCTGAGAGTTGACTTATTTAAGGGGATGAGTCCTGAATCACACAAGTTAACCTGGGTCAACTCAATTTTTTTATAAAAAAATATTTGAGACTTTAATATTCCACATAAAAATTAATTAAAAAACAATTCATGTTGATATAAGCTATGCATGTTGTAAATAATAAAGTTTAAAAGATTATTTCAAAAAAAAATTTATGCCACATTGAAAAGATTTTATCTTCTTATTTAAAGTTAAAGTATTTAAATTAAAAGGATTTTTTTATCTTATATCAGAAAAACACAACTTTTTCTTCTATGAATATATAATATATATACTAATGAGCTTTTAATCTCACATTGAAAAAAATAAAAGTTTTTATTAATGTTTATATAATAAATTTTGATATGAATTAATAACCAATATGAAAAAGAGCCCCTCAGGCCTTGTTATCAATGATTTTTCTCTTTGTTAAGAAAATGTAATTTTTGTTCCATATGGAAATGTTCATGGACATGCTATATATATATATATGTGTGTGTGTGTGTGTGTGTGTGTTAGTTAAATCAAAGATAATTTTTTTAAAAAAATATATATTTATCAAGTTTTATTGGATTACAGGTTACCTTAGCCAAACAAGCAAAATTCACCAAGTCAATTGTAAGTCAGGTTTTCATCAAATTCAGACCCGGCTAAAAACTTAATTCACTTGAATTTTGGATTAACTTATCAAATTAAACCAGGTCTAATAACAAGGATAACACTTATAATTTATATTAAATTACAACCATTAACTTATCAAATTAAACTAGGTTTAATAACAGGGATAACACTTGCAATTTACATTAAATTACAACCATTGACTGGATGGATTGCTTTTATATTTCAAAAGTGATTAGTTATACCAAGCTGACAATACTCTTTTCAACCTTTTAAAAATGAATTTATAAATTCACAATGTCATGGTTGCAACAGTTAAGAATGTAATATAATTTATTTATTAAAAAAAAACTAAAAGGGATCAACTACTTTTTCCTTATCACTATAAGGAAAAATATTTTGATTATTTTATCTTTTATTGCACTTAACAATGGTCTTGAAAACCGGGATAAAGTTGTTTTTTAAGGGTTTAAATGTTATTTGCATATTGAGTGGTCAAGTTAACCTGTATTAGTTTAGATTTTTTTATTAAATTTTTTTATTTTAATTTTTTTTTCTAGGTGTTTTTTTTGGAAGTCTAATATTTCTTTTCTTGATATTTTATGATTTTTTTTTAATTCTATTATTTTGCATAAAATAATTCGTCATTAAGCTTTGTCATTTTTTTCACTTTTTCTTCTATTTGGTTATTTTAATAAAAGATTTAACATATTAATCTAGGTTAACCTAAATTGATACGATATGTTTTCATTTTAATATTAAAAAAATATTTTTAAATTTATTTTTATTTAAATTAAGTTTTTAACTATCATTTAAATTATCTTTAGACCATAAAGTTAATTAAATCATGTCAAATCAACTTTAACATATTTTAAATTTATATCTTACTAAAAAAATATATTAATATTATCTAAATATTTTTTATATTAAAAAAATAAAATTAATCTAACTTGCAACTTAACACGGTACAATATCTATTATATTCCAAGGTTCTAACTTATCATGGCCGAGAGAGAAATTGGGATATATTAAATTTTCTTTCTTCCTTTGCCCGATTTAACAACACAACCTGGATGGAACATTTGTTTCAACTCATGTTCAATCCATCTAGTTCTTGTCTTGCCCCCTTTTCCTTACAAGGACTCCATTTGGATGAACATTTTTGCGAGTGCTTCTGGACCTTTAATCATGAGGCAATTCTTGAAATTTTGAATGAATAAGGATTGATATTTAATTTTTCTAAAATTTGTTTCTTTTTACATTTTAAAAATATTTTAAATAAATTAGATTTTTTTATTTTAAAATATTTTTTATGGTTTTAGTTCGTTTCAATATGTTGGTGTTAATAATAGATTTTAAAAAATAAGTAAAATATTATTTTTATAAATTTTTAAGTTAAAAAAAAAAAACTAGTAGTACATCACAAAACTTTATTTCCTGATAATTTAAGTCAATTGACAATCAAGAGGCAATCCGTCAATTTCCCACGGTGGACCACTTCTGCATTCCTTTCAATCAAGCGGCTGTTTTGTCTGGGCTCCCTCCTTCATGCCCGCCGTTGCCGTTTAGCTCCACTGGAACATCTCTCTCTCCTCTGCCTGCCTGTATTATTTCCTGTTTGACATTAAAATAAATATTATTTTTTAAAATTATTTTTTACTTAGTAATATATTGAATTAATATTTTTTAATTTTTTTAAAAACATTTGGATACACTTGGAACCGGGACCCACTGTCCTAAATAACCAAAGAACGACCGACACTTCCCGCGAGAAATTACAGCACGCCCGTTAAAAAAGGGGGTGGTGGTGGGACCGTAAAAGTAAGGATCCTTTTAACGGGTGAAACTTCGCGTGGAAGACAAATGAGGTGGGGGCCCATATTATATTGGTGGGCCTGTCTGTCCTGTAGTATCTCACTATTTCTGTTAGTATTCTACCAAAAGCTGACTTGCTAACTGAGAATCTTGCCGCCAAAAATAGTTTCTTCTTTCTTTCTCCCTTCATTTTGATTTCTCACTCATCCTCGGTAAAAAGTAAAAAATTAAAATTGAATCGTGATGTGGTATGTATCATGATGAGGCTGTTTGTAAGTGTATTTATAGATATTTTAAAAAAAAAAATTATATTGAAATGTATTAAAATTTTAAAAAAA